AAAACTTTGAAAAGAAAAAAAAAAAAAAAGAACTGAGCTAAGGGGCAGGCCCCATTTTTGTCTTTTTGAGACAGCGCTTCAGTATGCAGTTCAGGGTGCCTGGAGCTCACTTTGGAGCCCAGGTTGGTCTCAAACTCACAAAGATCCTCTTGCCTCAGGCTCCCGTGTGCCACCATGCCCAGCTACTGACTTGCTTTTAAACAATCCTTCTGGATGCTGTGTTAACAGAAAGCCATACAGGGTCAAAGGTAGAAGCAGAAATGACTTCTGTAGGAATGCTGTTGTCACTGTCCTTTTCCATGACCCTTTTCTTCTCTTGCCTGTGTTTCTCAATCTCGACATGTCGCTCTTGCCTTACCAGCTGCTCTTCTTCTGGCTCCTCTCTCGCTCCTTTTGTTCCCTAACCTCCCAGTATTAGGGCACCCTGCACCCCATCTCAGACCTTCCTGTGCTAAGCTCTGCTCTGGGTGTTCTCGTGCACATCTGTGGCTCCCTAGACCATGCCTTTGCCAGCCTCAGGCTCACATTCACATATCCGACAGCTACTTGCTGCCCGAACTGGAACATTTTCCCTTTTTTTGTTTGTTTGTTTGTTTGTTTGTTTGTGGCAGAACTGGGGATTGAACTCAGGCCCTTGCACTTTCCAGGGAAGCACTTATTCCACTGAGCCATCTCCCTGGCCCCAACATTTTCACTTCTTCTCAAACTTCTCACCAGCCTCAGCCTCCACACCCCAGTGACAGCACTGCATTGGCTCAACCGAGTAAACAGCCATTCTTCATGCATTTTTCCCTCCATAGCTAACCCTTCTATCCCTGAATCAGCGAGCTGTTTCTTCAAAAATGTGATGTATAGGGGTTGGGGAGATAGCTCAGTGGAATAAGCGCTTCCCTGGCAAGCGCAAGGGCTTGAGTTCAATCCCCGGTTCTGCAAAAACAAAAACACACTCATGTCAAAAGATTTAAGCTTTAAAAAAAAATAAATAAATAAAAAGCTCAAAAAAATCTCAGCACCCTACCTATTTCTTTTACTCACAGAATTGTGGTGAGTTGGTATGTGGCTGGGCTGGGCCAGCCTCACCTGCTGTAGCTACAGAATGGGTTGGGGCCAGTCCATATGCGTCCAATCCTGGGCTCAGGCTAAATAGCACTGTCTACTGCAGGGATGATGTCATGACATCAGAAACCCACCAAGGTGAACCAGTAATCCAGCACGTTCTGAGCCACTGCTCACTTCACCTCCCACTGGCTAACAAAGGTCATGTGGACAAGCTGCTGTTTGCTGTGAAACTACAGCAGGGCCTGAGAATAGGAACCAGTTCCACTGCACAATGAATTGCTCTCTCTCCAAACTTAGTCTTTTATCTAAGGACCCTCATCCCAGGGCCCTAGGCAACTATTTTCACCATTGTATCCCTCCCACCTAGTATAGCTCAGTATGTTGAATAAATAATTGGCAACTGATCTCCCTGGCTCTATTCATTCACCTCTCATGCCTTTCCACATTGCAGCCAGAAGTTTTTTTGTTTTTATTTTTTGCTTTGTGTGTTC